TCTACGGGGCTATGTCACCGATAAAGGCTTACTGTTGGTCGCTTTTGGTAGTAAACCAGAAAGGATCAACAAGTAAGAGAGAAGTAAGCGGTCTGTGCATGTAAAATCCTACAACCAGAGGTGTATGTTTAAACAAAACTGTGCAACCAGCATGATGACTCGGGGAGCTACATGCTCCTTTTAACCGTGACCATCCCAAGGATAACCCACGTTTAAGGTCACTCGCAGCAATGCGTTTATTGCGCAATTGGTAGCCTCAAATTAAGCAAAAATAGTTGACAACAAAGAGGAGTAAAAAAATTCTTATTTGACATGAAGCTTCAAGTACAACTGGCACTCGTCACTAGAAAGGCATGAGATTCATTAAGAGGACTATCGGAGCAAATTAAAAAAAATAAAAAATAAAATAAAATAAAATAAATAAAACGATTCGATCGGTTGCTAAGAGGGCTAGACAATGCTAAAAAACATGAGAAAAGATTGACAACAATTGTTGGTGAGATTCATGCAATTCGAGGAATATGCGTAAATGCCCGGTTGTATGCTTGTTGGCGTCCACCCGTGCTCATGTTAATGTATCTGGCCAATAAAAGCGGAGAAAATGTGTATTAAATTTTAAGAGCAATAAGACAATTGCACCCGTATGTCATGCCTCAAGTCCATTTTTTGTACAAAAGTCTTGAGGTAAAAGCATAAACTATAGAAGAAACATTTGGGTTAATTTTCAAGCAGATATTGAGGCTGGGAGGAGGGTCAGAATCGGGTACCGAGTTGTCCATAGCCGTGAAAGGAACGAATTTAAGAGCGAAAGAGGGCGCGACTGGGTTTATATGGAGTTAAGCAGAATATTTAGAAAATATTCGTTCCCTTGGCCATAGTGAATATGTTATCAATGTAAAAAATCAACAAACTAGGCTGTACAAACAGGATAACAAGGATCTGCGTGAGGCCATTTAGATGACTAGCAGAAGGGAAGTGCAATAATAAATAATAAGAGATGATTGCGCACTCATTGCTCACGTGTGCAGCAGGACTCAAACCTGAAAATAGACTTTAATTTATGTACGCCTACATGTAAGTGTAAATTTGCTTATCAAGCATTAGACTACCATTAAATTGTGATGAGGAAGGCAGTGACATAAAAGGACGTCCTTTAAGAGGGGGTAAAAACAAAGCAGACGGACCAAAATAGCCCAAGAAAATAAAATAATGACCATGAAACGTATAGTAGAGGTTATAGGCTGGGTTGAATGGGAGAAGCGAGACAGTGCATCAGTCGAGGCGTAATGCAAGACGAGCCTGGAAATTTGCTTATGCATGCACCTAAATCTCAAGTCAATGATTCCCACTTGAGTAGACAGTAAAGTCATGTTTGAGAGCAAGCTCGCCGGGAAATTGAATTGAAAGAAAACCGCCCAAAAGTGGGTTTCTATCGGAGGGTTAAACTGGATAGAGCTCAAAAAGAGCTCATCTTCGAGCAGGGTATGAGGGAAAATGACAAAGAACAGGGCAAGTTGCGGAAATACGCAAACTGGCCCCAGTCAATATGGGGAATAAGAGGATTCGGAAATGTGATTTTACTAAGTAGAACTAGCGGGTAGAAACAATGAATGATCTTTGAAAATAACCAAGAGAGAGAGAGTGTGTGTACCATAAAGCACAAGTCTTCATCACAGCCAGAGACCAAAGGGCGAGGCCATAGACCATGCGAGTTCACTGGATCATGAAGAGGCTGAGGAAAGGCGAACTTAAGTGGGACTTCGAGAGAAAAATACAAGAGGAGAATAGCAAGATAACCACCAGAGCTAGATTCTAAAAGAATGTCGAGACAGCAGGGGGATGGGATTTTCACCAAAGAGTCAACTTGCTCATGATTCATTTCATCAGTCACACAATTAAAGTCGGATCGTTTGCAGCTTGACGAAGACATATATGCAAGTGTCTATGCATATAGGATGTATATATAAATGCATGTGTAAAAGAAACAACATTAACATGAATAAGGCAGTGAGTTGTTAGTTTGCATCCGGCCTCCACAACTACGCCTAACTGACAAAAATGCAGTGCTCTCATGACCACAATGACAGGGAATCATGAATCCATTTTCATTAATAAATGAACAGCAGCGAAATTGTAAACAGATATGCATACAGACAAGCAGACGGATGAGCGAGATGGAAATGAATGATGCCAGCGTGTGAATTTACAAAGAGGAGTAAGTGATGCGAAAAGATGGGAAGACACAATTTAGAATACAGGCTAGATCGTTATTGTTTAGAAGCCCTTTTACAGTTCCCAATTGCATGAGTGAATAGCACGAGTTGCAAGCTTCTTTGATCCAACTTGGCTACAGAAATGCAAAGACCCCCTCATCATTTGGGCTATCTCGTGACGCCCCGGCTGACAGATGCTGGCAGACAACTCGCTCAGACAGTGCTAGGCAACATTATTACCAGAAGCAACATGCGTCGTGGTCGTTGTCGTCGTTGTCGTTGTCGTGTTGGAGGCGGCCGGTGGTGGTGGGGCTCGGGCAGAAGCAATCGCTTGCCGATTCACCCAATCCGCAGGTTGCAATGATGCCGCGCCCAAGAAGCCTCGAGTGCACACTCGACAGCAGCGGACGTCATCGACAGATCTTGGCGTTTCCAGTTGAAGGTCTTCTGCAATCTTGGCATCTCGATCGCTCACATGCAATTGCCGACGTGGCTGCAGTTGATGTTGCCGTCTCAACTGGCGATGGCGTTCCGCAATCGCGGCAGCAGTGGCCAACAGGCCGGTCAGACAGGCCAACCAATCTTCCCGAGTGGGCAGCACCAGCTCTCCTGTCGCCGGGCATCGCGACACGCCCGTCGTCAGTGCATTGGGCTCATCTGCCGCGGTCGAGTCCAGTAGCTTTGGCTGCTGCCGTTTCGGACGAAGGAGCGACGGGGAATGGAAAAGACGACTGGTCGCGGAAGTCTCGCTGTCCGCTTTGCTAGCAGGGCCATTGGTGACCGCGTCGCTGGCACGGCTGTTGCCATCGTCACCGGTACCGCCAACATTGGTGAGGCGGCCAGCGCTGGTGGCCGAATCGCAGGCAACGGTGTCTGGGATAGCGAAAGCGTCTACTGAATGCTCGTGTTTTGCATTGCTGCAAGTGGGAGGAGTCACGGAAAATGCAAGATTGGATGAAGGTGAAGAGGACGACGGCAGAGCCAACGATGGGGACGACTGAAGGCTGGCCTCGCGAGCGCCAGACCGACGCAGCCAAGCAAATCGGCCTCCTGCAGACCGCCCAACTGGTGGTACCTTCACCGGAGCACCCTGTAGTGACTGTATGCCAGAGGATTTTGCGACAAGTGTTGCGGCCGAGTCGAGGCTGGTAATGGCGATAAAAAGGCGTTCATGATAAAGCAGTGAGAAAACGTGTAGACGGTAAGGGTAAGAAGAAATGTAGTATATTTAATTAAATGAAAATGAAGGCCAACGGATTGGGCATCATTGGTGTTGGATTGAGTAAGTTAGAGTGGAATAGAATGAGGATGACCAAACTACAGAAGACTATTGCTAGGGGGACCTTCATTTCGTATGAGAAGAGATTCGTTGGTCGATCTCACTGCAGCCGGTTGGCTTCTATACGATATTCATGTTGACGCAGTCCACGGGACTTGCTCCCTCGTTTCGGGTGAAAACGTGCTGAGTTTTCAACCATCAACTGTTGGACATCATCAGAGCTGGGTGTCATTCTTGTAAAAGGTTTTCGTTAACACTAGATCGACCGACGAATCTCTTCTTCATGCACTTTCATACGAAACGAAGGTCCCCCTAACAATGTTATCTCAGGAGATTTAGCAAAACAGAAGACTAGCATGATGAGGAGTGAGAATAAAAGAAAATAGACACAATGGGCTAAGGGTGAATGGGAAGTGCAGCAAGACGTGTGGTAAATGTTGAAGAAAGCAAATAAAGGAGAGGATTATATGAGATGTATTCGCCCTATTTGATTTGAGGTGACGAAGG